GGGCGGGCGGGCGCGGGGCATGGTCCCGGCGGCGCGGCGCGGAGCGGAGCGGGCGCGGAGCGGTGGCATGCGGCGCGGAGACATGCGGCTCTGCTCGCGCGCTGCTGCCCCGCCGACATGGACCGCCGCCGCCTGCCGCTGCTGCTGCTCTGCGCTGCCCTCGGCTCCGCCGGGCGTCTGAGCGCCCGCCCCGGCAACGAAGGTGAGCCGGGCCCGCGGGGTGGCAGGCCCCGATTTTCCGTTTATTTCTACATTTCTATTTATTTATTCACTTATTTTTTTTTTCGCGTTACGGTGGTGCTGGGCGGCGGCCGCCCTTCCGCCCGGGAGCGCTCTCGCCCGGCAGCGCGGCCGCCGCCCGGTGCGGGGATGAGGAGGGAGCCGCTTCGGCGGCCCCCGAAGAAAGTTGGGGAGCGGAGCGCGGGGTCTCTCCCGGCAGAGCTACGGGAGAGCCCGAGCAGCTCCGGAGTGCGGAGACCCCGCTCGGCAGGTGCCGGTCCCGCCGCGGACTGGGGCGGCTCTCTCGGCGGGTGAAGCGGTGCCACAGCGCTGCGCCCCTCCGACTCGCCCCGAGCGCCGCGTTGCGTGCGGGTGCCGGGCGTGCGGCGAGCGCTTCCCAAGTTTTCATTAATAGCGGAGAGCCGCTCAGCCCCTGTCAGATCTCCTCCGCGTTCCTCGGCGTTCTCCCGTCGGTTTCGGAGCTGATGGTGCGTGAACGTGCGCGATTGTTCAGCGGCGATGCACAGGCGTTTTGTTCTCCCTCGCTGTGGCGGTTTTTTTTTCAGGTGACATTTGATGAACGCGCACGCTGGGTCACGGAGAGAAATGATGACCGCCGGGCGCTGTTGGGGAAAGTAACCGCAATACTTTTGGGGAAAGCTCGGGATTCCCCGACCCCGTGCTAAGGGGCATGCGGCCGCTGCCCGCAGGGTGCGATCTGTGTGCCCAGGGTGCGCGCTGCTATCGCATCCGCGGATAGAGTCTGTTGGGATAGAGCCTGCGGCTCCGGAGAACTTGTGATGCCCAATGGGAGTGCGGGGCTTGCACCTGCCCGAGCTGCGGCATCCACAAGAAAGCACATAGAAAAGCTGTATTGAAACCAGTTCTCCCGTGCAAACGATGCTGATGTACTTGGTGGTATTCTGGCTGTTTGCAGACAGTGAGATAACAGGTTCAAGTGATTTCTGGAAAGGGGAAAAAAAAAATATCGCATACAACAAATACAGAGAGACCAAAACTTTAGGGACACTAGGCAATCCGAAGTTACTCAGTTTATTCCTGGGAGGAAGCGATGGTCCCGTCGTGCTTGCAGAACAATGTCGAGTCTGTTTGTATGCTCTATGTAAATTTGTTCTGCATGGGCAATGCTTTCCAGGGTACCTGGAGGAAGATGCTGCTAGCGGTTGCTTACTCCTAAGTTCACATATGTGTAATGTTTTGTTATGCTTTGTCTCTTTCAGCAATGGTTTTCAGAAAGGAAAGCAAGAGCAATGGTGGGGGGTGCCCTTGTCTCATGGCTAAAAGCGGGTTGTGGATGCTGGGGGTCCATCAGCCAGCAGCACAGCTCTGCCTCCGCAGCAGCGGCACACGGACTCAGCTCACACACTGAGCAAAGCCTGCCAAAACGGGAGCTGGGCACTCAGCTTTGCTAATGATACTTTTTGTGTCTTTGTTTGAAACCATTGGCACGGAGAACCAGGAGAGGAGGAAAAAAAAAATAATAGTGCAGAAGACATGTTAAGCATCTTGTCTGAGTCTGCCTTCAGTAGGTACTGCTTCTGCTCTCTGTGTTCAGTTTCAGGAACACATCCGTCATATTTTCAGCCTTGGTTGCAAAAAGCAACATGCATGCGGTGACGGGATGGTGACTGGCTTTGCAGGCTTGCTTTTCTTGAGGGATGGGTTCTGCTATTCCTTTCAGAAAGCAAAAAAAAAAAGATAGAACGCTGAGAGTTTCTTTAAAAAATGGGACCAGCTTCAATGTTTGTTTGTTTTCGCTAAGGAAAGGGCACTAATTACTTTATTTATAGTGTATGTGGGCTGATCATATGAGTTGAGAAATCCAAATTATGATTTGCTGATGCTAATTTGTTTAACAAGTCAGGCATTAGCATGGAGCTTTAAATAATGCCAAAAGATTGCTTTCTTCTTTTAAATAATGTTTTTCTCACCACTTCTGCTGTCAATGTTAATTCCTTCCCTTCCCAGACTCGAGTTAGAAGTGCCTGCGTTTCCATGGGGTATTTAGAAAAGTTTTCTTTCTTTGCCCCTGAGAAGGAACCAGACCCTTTGAATGGAGGTTGTTAACATAGGCTTGTGGCGAAGCACGCACACATTTTTTTCATACGCTTTAATATGAAGCTGCTGTGGAACTTGTGGATCATTGTAACAAAGGATGAAGCTCATTTCTGGTGTGTTCTTATTGCTCTGTGTAACTTCTGAGGGATGTGAATGTCACAGTGGATAGGTTGAAAGGGTTACGCTCAGGGCTACCAGAGAGATGTCCTACGTTTATTTGACTTGAAAGAATTACTTCTGTTTTGAAAATGCAACTTCTGTTAACATTTAGAGTTAATATTAAAGTTGACAACTGTTTGAACTAGTGCTGATACTTCGGTGGATGGGAAAAAGGGAGAAAAGGATGGAAGGGGCTGAAGGCGAGTTGTTGGCTTACTTCCTTACTTTACATTCTGTCAGTAAGTGCAGTTCTTTTTACCCCTTTTTAAAATTATTATTTTGGATAGTTGGAATATTTGTTAACTTACTTCATCCCAGAAAAGTTTTGAGGCTTTTTTCTTGATAAAACCAATTTTCCAGCAAGTTTATTGTTAACTACCCTGCCATGCTCATTGCAAGCGGTGTACTCTTTCCCTACATAGTCACTGAGGTTCAGGGAGCTTCTCTGAAGTTCAGGCTTGTCTGCGTGTGGTGTCAAAGCGTGTGCCATTTTCTGAGGGGCAGAAAGATGTCGGGGAGATTTAACATCCAATCCTCAGGTTTGAAGTCACGAGCAGAACCCTCTGAGCGCATAGGAACCACATATTTTGCTGTGCCGTCCTGCTGAATGTTTTTCACATGGGGTGGAGGGTGTTTTTTTTTTATTTTTATTTTTCCAAGAAAGAAGCAATTTGTCTATGAATAATTCCTGGGCTTTCAAGGAATTGACTGAGCTCTGTCATTTGGTAATTTAATAATTTTTCCTCTGTCTCTCCGGTAACTATATTGCCTGCCCGAGGGTACCAGCAGCCTTAATTTCACTGTTTTATAACCCACAACAGTTAACACTTGACCCAGGTCATTAACAGGATTATCAGCAAATTTGTTTAAGCTTTTACTGACAACCCGAATTGCTTCAATAATATTTTGATTGTGCAGACAGAAAACTTCTTGTAACCTCTCAATCTAGCATAAAATTAATTTCTTGCAAACACAGCCCCCAAACGATCGATACGGTAAATCTGCTTACAGTGCGTGGTTTCAATAGTGTCTGTTTTGGTTAACAGCAAGAGGGTTCCAATCAGCCTCTACTTTCAGTCTGCGTTGGCTTCGGAGATGTGGTTTCAGCTTTTATTCATTCACCAGCAGCTCAGAGCTCTGCGTAACTGTGCAATTAAGTTCACCATTTTATCTGTTAGCACTTAAAGTTGCTGAAGGCAGCACACTGTGCCTTCATAGCAGTGACAGCCGTTGGCAAGGCTTTGAAAAAGGCAACATTTGCACGTGGAGCAAAGTGCCTGACCAACTTACCCACGTAATTTGGAGAAGGGCTGGAAGCACTGGAAACTTTGGATCAAAAGGGAATGGCGCAGGGCAATGCTTAGCGCAGATCTCACCTTGCCGTGTGTCAGGTATCATTAGGGCAGAGAAAGTCCTCCCATATAGTGACACATTCACTCGTAGCTCGCTGCAGTGTGTTGCCCTGCAAAGGATGTCAGAAGTCAGTTTAGAAACCTTAACGTGATGCCTCTTAAATTTAAGCTCGGATTGGTGGGTTTCCAGCAAGCTGTTTTTCATACAGCTGTTACCCAGTGCTGTTGTGCTTAATCCTAAGCTGTACAATGAGAAAAATAATGATTGTGCTTTAAACTTCACACGGTGATAATTTTAAAAGTTGTGCAACAAGGGAAGGAAGTTGGTCAAGTCCCTCATTTCTGATAGGGGGTGCTCACAAATGGAATAATTTATTTCCTTTTCTATGGTTGAAACTCATCTTGCGGCTGATGTCAGTGCAGTGCACTAAAAAGGAAAATCGCTTTATTCTCCACGACAAACTTAAAGCAGATGTCTGAAGCGCAGGGATGTTCAATTGGACACAGCAATTAATTCTTATTGCAGTTAATTTGGATGCGACATATTTGCTGCCCAACGAACCAGTCGAATGACACATAGTTGTTACAACTCTCTTTTCTGCACTTTCCTCTGTAGGAAATGAGGCTTTGGAGCCATTACCCAGACAATAGGCACACGAAATCGCTTACAAGAAATCTTTGCAAATCAGGTGTGCGTTCTTACTGAACCTAAACTTTTTTCCCTGCCATCTGGGGAAAAACCGCAGATTAGTTTTATTTATTCATTTATTATTTGCAGGAGTTGGGGACATTGCTATTAGTGTACTTACTCCTAATTCTGTTTCAGAAGTTGTAAGTTTTCCTCCAGGAGCGTACGTAATGGCTCTTGTTCTTGTAATCCCCGCTTGATGAAAGTTTGGCCGTACAGATGCAGGTGTTCGCTTTCCTGTTTTCAGAGCTCTGGATTTTATCACCAGTGAGGGTCACTACAGAGCTGTTACCGAATCCAGCCGTAGGGTTTGTCGCTTTCTGTGCAGGGCTTGTGTTAGCTCCATAGGGTACCTGCAATTCAGGGAGGTGCCGTCGCTTTGTGGCCGTTGTTGGATTTCAGTCATTCAATTAATTAATTAAATGCTGCTAGTAAAGCAGAGATACAATCATGTCCTTGTTTTCGGTTAAGGTTCAAAAGTATTCTCAGTGGAGGTGGTTGGTATTGAAACATAGACGGGTCCTGTTGCTGCCCTAAGGTGCAAAATGAACTGGACTTTTGCAGACGTGTTAGATTAACCTGCAGAGGTGGAGCTGAGAGATCTCTTAAGCCCATCACTTTCCTAACAGTTAATTTCAACATCTCAAGAGTTGCTTTCCTGCCATGAAATGTAGGGCTTTTTTTTTTCTTTTTTTTATTCTTTTT